ATTCATACTTTGGTTGTATTGAAATAAAAATTAAAAATTAAAAAATAATTTGTAATCATCTAGGGTGTGATACTATTTGACGCCATCAATTGGACCCCTTGTCGTCACTCTTTTTTAATTTTGTCCATGTCATTTTTTTTTCTAAAACATAACTTGACTAGAAAGAAAATTAAAAAAATTAAAAAAACTGAAAAAAACCGCACCGGTCGTGCAAGAAGTACGACCGGTTCATTTTTTTTCGTATAATTTTTTGTTTTGATTTTAAATCAATTATTTATATTTTTAGAAGTACAATTATTATCTTTGAGTTAAGTATAATTATTATATTAATGTTTAGTATAAATTTATACTCCTTTCATCCCGAAATTATTATCCAGTTTGAGTTTTTACTTTTAATTCAGTTTGTATTAAAATTAAGAATTCAAACTGGACAATAATTTTGGGACGAAGGAAGTAATTATTAGTTCAATTAAATTATTTGAATTGATATTAAAACATAAAATCTTATATTAGTTATTAAATTTAGGATAAATATTAGTTAAGGATAAAAATTATACATTTATACTCAAATATAATAATTGTGATTCACACATTATTGTTAGATTTAAGTTTCTATCAATCAAATTAATTATTTTTCATCTTTGCTCTTTGGTGCCGTTTGTGTTGTTTCTTTGGTTACTACCCCTATATACATTCAATTGACGTAAACAAGGAAACCTTTGAGTTGGGAATTCCATTCATCCAAAACGCTAGGGTTGACCACAAGACCAAGTTCATTGAGGGGGATGCCATTAGTTTAATAATGGCATGATTAATAAGGAATCGATATTTATAAACTTGTTTTATTGTGTAAAGAAAGATTTCTTATTACTAATAATTTCAGGATGAGGAGTTTTGAAAATACTAATTTTATCTTTGTTCATGCCCATAAGCCGGATTATTTTAAGTACCACGAGTTTTGCCTCTAATTGGTGAAGGATGGAGGTCTAATTGCGCACCACGACACCTAGTGATGCGGCACTGTAGCAAATTCCAACTATGTAGGGGCCGAAGCATTCATGGAAACTAGGGACTCCCTGATTGAGTTTGATAGATTCATGGCTATCGATTACCGAGTGGAGTTCTCCCTTCTGTCCATTAGGAATGGACTCACCCTGTGCAAACACCTCTAACACAAATCATATTGAAGATTAATTTTTTTATTTTTTAAAAAAGATTAATTAATGCAAGAACTCTTTCGGAGCTATTAGTATTATATATCATCTCATAGTTGCTGATTTTCTTATATTCATAATTTGTTTGTATTGAAATTAAAAAAAAATAATTTATATCATCTAGGGTGATACTATTTGACGCCACCAATGGGACCCTTTGCTGCCACCTTTCATCCCGAGTACGAGATGAGACTTGTCCATATGGGCTCTTAGATTGCTCAAAACCGTACATGTGGATTTATGGAACCATAGATATGTGTTTATTCTCTCCATTTTGGTTTGAAATAATTCATTATATTCCTTATATGTGTTACTAAGGTTTGGAATTATTCTGATGTACGAGATGAGACTTGTCCATATCAGCCATTAAGATGCTCGAAACCGTACATGTGAGTTTACGGAACAATAGACATGTATTTATTCTCTCCATTTGGGCTTAAAATTATTCATTATATACCTTATAACTTTTACCAATATTTGATGTCACGAGTCTAATGGCATAGAATATAGAATCTTCTCCGTGCAAGCTGGTTGTACAAAATTTGTTTGTTCATATAAGCAGTGTGATTTGGGGATCTTTTTTAACCCACGGTTCCTTTTTATATAGATTATAAAGTATATAGGAAAGTTAATTCAACTGCAGATGGTCTCGCAAAAATGGCATCAGCTAGACAAACTCTCACTTTTGCAAATCAATATCAAATATCGGCATACCTAAGGGGATTATTGATCATTGACAAACAATCAATGCCCTATGTGAGGATAAAGTAAAGTATTTTTAGAATGGTGCATTATTCGTATATAGGATATGAAACTGTCAGGGGTTTTTTTCTAGAAAAAACTTTGTAAGGTAGTTGTTAGATAGAAGTTTTATATTTTCAAAATAGAACTACCAAAAGATTTAAGAATATTTTTATAAGGCAGTCCTTAGTTCAATTTGTTAACGTAAAGCTGTCAGTGGATTTTTAGAAAATCTTTGTGATACAATATCTTTATATTGGGTAAATTTTTAGCACTGTCTTGTGTTATCTTTGTTTTTAATTAATAAAATCGGGGGATGCCTGTCAGGTACCGTCCTGGATTTACCTTAAAAAACATAGAGATTATAAAGTAGTAGAAATTTTGGAAAGAACAAAGTTCCAAACCTGAAACTGGGACGATTTCAATTTTGTCCTTGTCATTTTTACCAAATAGAGTAGTTTGATTAGAGAAACAACATTTAGAAAAAGTTAAAAACTACAAAAAATTTATATATAAAAAGGGCACCGACCGTGCAAGAAACACAGATGGTCCGTTTTATTTTATATATATATATATATAAAATATTGTGTTAATTTGTTTTTTATTTTTCTTTTGATTCAATTATTTATTTTAATAGTACAACATACCTTTGAGTAAATGTATAATTATTATATTAATTTTTAATATAAATTTATAATTATTAGTTAATCTAAATTATTTGAATTGATATTAAAACATAAAATTTTATATTAATTACTATTTTTAGAATAATTATTAGTTAAGGATGATAATTATACATTTATACTCACAAATAATAATTGTACTACAAAGATTATGACAAATATGTGCCAACAAATATAAATGTATACTTTATTATTTTATCAACTAAGTTATATTTTTGAGTAGGTAAGTTGAATTAATTATTATTTTTCATTAGTAAAGTTAAATAACTTGAATATTAGATCCCTAGTAACAAACATGTTTTTCTGATTTTTCTTATAGCATATTAAATATAAATTTTAAGAGTGTGCAATAAGTGACAATTGGGGATTTTCTTTTAATGTATATAAAAAATAACTAGATGCTTGGCCCGGACAGATGTCCGGAGGCTCCTCTACTTTAATTTTGTGTTAATAGATAAATAAATTTTTGATTTAGAAATTACAAAATAGCTACATATTTGGTTTTTTTTTTCCCTTTTTTAGCCAAAAATAAAAATAAAAATAAAAAAATCATCTGCCGAAGTAGAAAAAATATTGAAAAGTACAACGATGCAGAAATCATACAAAAGAATGTGAAGTAATAAAGGGGATAAGTTTATGGGCAAATTTAAATGCTATTTTAATTTGATTGATAAATGATAAATGTTAGGAGTTAAAATTTTGTAATTATTTTTGTAAAGTAGTTTTTGTTTCTCCGGATAAGAATTTTTTTTTCTTTTAAGGGGTGACACGTGATGACACGTGGCAGAATGGTTAATGCAATATGGCGCATTTGGAGCCAATAAATTTTAATAAGAAGTTGCCACATCAACATCCTGTATTCTGCTTTAATAGGATAAAAAAGGGATAACACTTCTAAATCCACACAATAAACTTTGTCTAATAAAACAAGAACCAAGCATAATGCTCGGGCCCTTGTAAAAATGGCTGAAACAATCATTCAACCGATCTGAAAAATTCATCCGCAAGATCTCGATTGTAGGTCTTCAATACGCCGATTGCCTCCTTGGCGACCAATTTTTTTTTTTAATTCATCCACTAACAATAAAAAAATAAAAATTACTAAATTATCTTATAATACATTACTAAATTAGACTTAAAATTACACCTAAAAAAATACACAAGTAGTAACGTCTAGTAAACCCTAAACCCTAAACTTCATTAATTTTGGTGGTCTGAACACTACTAATTTATAGAAGTTCTACTGTACTTAGCTAAAAACTTCTTACATACTAATGTATTGAATAATTATATAGTTACTTAAAATACGTCACACTTCAATGTTTTCTGAACATGAAAATATTTGTAGCAAAAATGGAAAGTAGTCAAGAAGTGTGAACAATCTTTTGTTTATCAATAAACAGATGTGTATACATGTGTGAAATTGAATATTAGAGGTAACATTTTGTAATGTTTGTAAACAAGATCGACCTTCAAAATTAATTAATATTTCTAGATAGATCGGATTGATATGGTTAGACCAGATGATTCTATGATTTCTTTATAAATCATTTTGTTTGACTGACTAAATATTACCTCCGTACATCACAAGTGGAAATTCCTCCTCCTCCAAAATTTCTCCGTGTTATTCTTCACATCACTACCATTAATCTCGTCGAAATTTGGTTCAATCTGAGTGCTCTATTCATATGCACAGAATTTTATTTTGAAATTAATTAAACGAAATCGAATCAGTCTTTGCAACAAATTGGGTTGAGAACTTGACATCTCTGTGACAATCTGTTGAGCAAAAAGACAGTTAAAAGAAGAAATGGTTTGTGCTTTCTTGTCTATCACCATCACACTAGTAAGTACCATTGAGTATTCCCATTTGAGCAAGTCTTTCTTGTGTCAGTAGCTTTGTTCTTCAAGGCTATCCAACATATGAATCCATGTTTTGGTACAATGTAAGGACACCACCATACTAACCTGGATTCTCTGCTTTTCATGTGTTGTCCTCTCATCCACTTTATAGCCTTCCTTGGCTATATACTTCTTCCCTGTCTGATCAAGCCACAAGCCATTATGAACACCCTCTTTTAACCTCACTTTGACCTGCATTGAGCTTCTTCCAATGCCACCCACAATCCAATGGAGGCTAGCAATCCCAAATCAACTTATCTTTGATGTAGTAAACATGGATCCATCTAATCCATAGGTCTTCTTTTCTGCTAGCTACATCCCAAATTTGTTATCCAATCATTGCCTGATTCCAGTTTACAGGGTACTTATGTGCAATCCTTCTTCTCCTCTACATCTACAGGCCTCCTTCCAGGTTACTAAGGACCATGTTCTCCCTGATTCTCTTTTTTTTTTTTTTTTTCACAGAAACTCTCTACAATGTCTTTCTATCTGTTTTATTACTGATTTTGGAATAAGGAATATTCCAACCGAGTAGGAATGTAGATTCAACACTACCTTGATCAGAGTCAATCTGGTAGCATAACTAAATTAATGGAAGTTGACAAATTATGTCAATTTTTTTCCAAGTTTCAAGTGGGTATTAAAAGTAATACTGGTTTTATCAACACTCTAGCTGAACTCAAAACCACAATCATGAGGGTTGAAGGTAGCCACAATTTTTAAAGCACTCCTCAAATTCCTTGAAGCTTGACAGCTCCATTTTGTTTAAGTTGATCAACAACGAGCGTTGTCATGTTCAAAGGTTCCCAATTTGTGCATCTTAATTACCTTCTTTTTACAACCAGCCCTGAGGGGATAGAAAATTAGATTTTGTTACCTTCTTTTCACAAAGGTTGCCCATTGAATAAACTGTGAATGCATTTTCTTCTTTTTCTTTACAAACTGAAACCAACTGTTCTGCTTTAGCATATAAATGCTATCTACTCAACATCAACACTAGTATACATTACACTCAAACTAACTTTCTGCTATATCAGTTGATCTTTTCCAAAAAAGCAAATACAAACATTAGGCGATCAACTGTTGTTAGTCACGTCAAATGATTTCCTCCTAACCAACAAGGCGGTAATCTTTGAATTTGGATGAGGATGTGAATGAGAATTCTCAATACTACAAAGCACAAAATCAGGCCTGTGAAGTGCAAGATTCAGCCTGTCTTTCCCAACCACAAGGGCAGTCGCATCCAGCAGGACATGCCATGAGTTTCGGTGAGCTTCCGATACCCAATGCATCGAATATTTCATCCCATTCACCTCCGCCGGATAAGAAAACAAACCTTTGGGACTGATTTTGCATTTCCTCCTGAAATACTGACTGAGCTGTGATCCCTTTATCCTCAAATCCAGCCACGTTTCGGGCGCTGAGATGACTTTAGACCCCTTGAACAAGGCGAATTCCCTAACATAATCGCTTTCTTCCCCGATTATGCTCAAGTAGACGTTCCCTCTCACAAAGGGATAACTCTCCCCAACCAACATCATTGCATCTTTGTAGTGTTGAGTGAAGAGCACAAGGTAATCCTCCTCAGGAAGTCCACAATGGTTAAGCACTTTGTTTCGTGCCTGGATTTCAGGAATCGAGATGAAACTCCCCAGGAACGATGATTTCTTGTTCAGAATGTCCAATAACCTAGAGGGTTCTAACTGGATTTTGTCAATATCAGCTGGAAGATTGTTGCTTCCAAAAGATGGGGTCGATGAACCATTCTTGGGTGATGATTTCTTCATTCCATCAGGGGATAACACCTCAGAGACTTCTTTGATGCAAAGATCATACAGATCCGTCTTGTCGCTTCCTTCTACGAGTGCGCTCGAGTACTCAGGATACTTAGCCAGGACATATTGCTCAACATATTGCATTTCAGAGGGTGTAATTGGACCTGACCATCTAAGATCAAGTCCATGTAGTGTAGATATTGCTTCTGCTACTATATGAGCTGGTATTACTGTATTGGCTTTCTGCAAAAAAAAAAAAAAAAAAAAAATCAAGATCAAAGATAGATCAAGATCAGGGCCTGATCAAGATGATGCAAAAGACTTTTTTCTCTTTTTTTTGCGTGTGTGTGTGTGTGTGTGTGTGTGTTTTTTTTTTCTACCTTGAACACCATGCTGCTAGGCCTGCCATCTTCATTGGAGGATTTTTTGAAAGTATTCAACACTGATTTCTTCCTCATATCATCTTCTGTTGTTCCCTGGAAAGGTAAAAAGATCAGATCTTTTGAGCATCTTTCCCAGAAGACTTTTGAAGGAATACATGCAATTTGCAATATAATCACATAGTCAATCCAATTTTCAACCTGGTTACCTTTCTAGCCATTATCACAACTCGTTTGTCATCAATGTTTCTGCCCATTCCAATAGCTAGTTGATTAGCCTTCTCTTCCTTCTAGTAATGGCCTTAAATCAAGAATGGGATGATTTCATGAACATGATACCAAAAGGCAAAAAGATTTCTAGGATACAGTCAATATTGTGGGAAAAAGATTAACAAGTAGTAGTAATTAAGGTTTGATCAAAAGTCAGAAGTTTAATTAGTGGGAACCAAAAAAAAAAAAAAAAATTTAAATAGTAATGACGTGATTATGTAATATTATGAGAATGGTTGAGTGCTTAAGCAGATTTTGAAGCTCAATCTAATGTGAATCCAATTATAAAAGGGATCTTGGTAGTTTCCTAGAAGAAGCTTCCAGTAAAAATAAATTAATGGAAGTGATTAAGAAATGGAAGTTGACAAATATGTCTATTTTTCATATTTCAAGTGGGTATTAAAAATAATAATTCTTTTAACTTTTAGCTTTATTTATGGGAGATAGTGGTAGCAAAGTTTATGAATTATTCTTTGGTTGAATTTGACTTGCAGATTTCTTCCTTCCATTCTTAAAAGAACAATTCAGCATACATATTCTAATTGAATGCTTATAAGTTTAGTTTTTGTATTTAAGAATTTATTTTATCATTATATTTCAATTCTATAAAGTTGAATAATAACCAAAAATTAATGAAATATCCAAAGAAGACATGTACTACAACTCTTTAAGCATTTATGGCATTATTATTAGGGGGAAAAAGAAGAAGAAGAAGGTTGATTTAGAAGAATAAAAAAGAAAACAATGTTTCTATTGCATCGACCAATAAGATTGTAAGAAGGATTCTTGTAATGATAAATCCTAATATAATGTCATTGTCCATTTTGATAAGGAAAAATAACTTAATTTATTTAGGCCAGAAAGCAACTCCCAATCCTCTTAAAGGCATTCAAAAATCATACTAGATGAAAATGACTAATATAAAAAGGTTGAATTAATCATAATATAAACCGGTTGTATTATGTTACAAAAATTGTTGGCAATGTCTCAATTTATCAGACTTGACTATTTCCACCCTGCAAAATGGACTGATTTCTCGTTAGGTAAAGTTAGAGAAAAAAAAAAACACACAGAAACAATGAAAAGTGCCCCAAAAAAAAAGTGTCCATTTTCATGTCATAAATTCTTAGGTCCAAAATAACGGTGTACATCGAAGAATTTCTGGACAATTATTATGAGACAGTAAGTCTTAATTAATAATGTTTTAATACTATGACTGACCATTTTTTTTTTTTGGTTAAAACCGACAAATGATCAAGTATCAGGTATATTTATTAAGTGAGATTAATTAGGAATATTCTTTTTCTTGGAAAAACAATAGATTCGACCTTTGGGATTTAGTACTAGTTTTTTTCCGATGGAACCGATAAAGTTGTGAATGGGAGGAGAAACCAAAGAATATGCGCATCCTGAATCCTCTTGCATCCAAACAAAAACTGTTTTTCTTTTCTTTTCCAGAAAATAGGACTTTTTGTTTCTTTACCGAAATACATCTTATTTTGAAGGGGGCGGGCAAACTATAAAAATAATACAACTCAGCAAATCACTGCAAATTGGAGATTTCCAATTACTGCACCATGTTTAACAATGGCTGTTAGGAGCACCCAAAGCAAAATATACACTAGTAGAGCTAAGTTTAACACAACTGAGTTCCTTTATCATGTTTTCCTTCGTTTTGTTAAGAGTTTATAAAGATGTCAGAATCACCAGTTTAGTTAAATGAAACACACTAAAAAATCAGATGAACTGTGATGATTTTGATTGTCCTCCAAACCCTAACACCACTTTTTCAGAGATGTAAACACACATGGCTTCTAATCACTAGTTCTTTGGATTACAGGTGAAATGGAGAACAGCAAATTTGTGACAATGCACCAGAAAAAAGCAGAAAGGCTTTCCCCATTGATACTTCTTCTCTAATCAGCCTGCTTAAGTTTCACTTTTCCACCAAATTTAATGCTCAAACCTTGAAGTACACATCAAAATTTCAACCACATATGATTTCAGGCACCAAACTTCCCCACCTTTTGTTTTATTATTCTATTCCTACAAATTAGTTAACCAGATGATGATTCATAACATCATGCTTCAAACATAAGCAAATTCACGTCACTTCTTCATTACTCAATTCCTCTATTACCAGAAACTATCTACAAAACCAAAAACCTGAATGTGGTGCTACAAACTGCCTTTCAATCATACATCAAAGATGTAGGAATAGTACCTTGAAGAAAGTCCCACTGGAAGAACACACAAAATGCCACCTTACCATCCTCTTTGTAGTCCTCTAACACCCATACTTTCTTCTCTCTCCAAAAATCCAAGGCAAGTCAGACACAGTCACCAAAAATATTACAAAACAGAAGGAAAGATGAGTTTTCTTAACAAGAAGAAAATCATCCCTCTCCTTGTTTTTGTCTTGTCATGCGCTTCGGTTTTCAGACTTCTCAAGATCACCATTATCACTTCATCTTCCCCGACACAGCCGTCTCCTGCGTTAAAAGCTGCACATCACAAGAATGTAACACAATCACACCAGGTACAAGCTCAAGGCAACACAAATATTCACTCCATTTCCAATGCAAATTCAAGGAATTTAACCGAAAAGGAACAGAGATTTGTTGTTGATGTCATTTCTCAGAGATCCCCATGCAATCTTCTTGTTTTTGGGCTTGAAGAAGAATATTCCAACCTTGCATCCCTGAATGCAGGTGGGATCACAGTCTTTCTGGAGGAGCATGCTCCTGAAAAGGTAAGTAATACGACAAAGATGCCCAATGGTACTTCAGTTTACAAACTTGAGTATCCAACAGTCGCCAGAGATGCTTTCCACCTACTGAAGCATGCTAGAGACAACAAACACTGTTCCCCGTCATCAGCCAACTTTCTTCAAAAATCAAGATGCAAATTGGCACTCAAAAGCCTTCCTACGGAAGTATACAAATTGAAGTGGGATGTGCTGGTGGTGGATGGACCGTGTGGTCATAGACCTGAATGTCCTGGTAGAATGACTTCCATTTACACTGCAAGTTTATTAGCAAGAAAAAATAATGGGAATACGACAAATGTATTGGTACACGATATCGATAGGATGATTGAGAAGTGGTTTTCATGGGAGTTCTTGTGTGAAGAGAATTTGATCTCTTCAAAAGGGAGTTTCTGGAATTTTCTTATTACAGGAGAAGCTAACTACTCTGATTCTACAAAATTTTGCTCCGGCTAAGAAATGCTAGGCATCCATACTGGTTTCCATCTAAATTCTCACTAATGTGTACATAAACAGGCTCACGCACTTTAAACAGAATGGTTGAAAACTATTTTTCATTTCTATCATGCATTTTGGGTACACGTGGTAGCTTTGCAATTTAACAGAACAAACGTTCGAACTTTACAATGACAATACATGGGATGTTACCTGCTAAGATCGGATGTATAGTAGGCGGCAATTGTTTGGAGCAAAATATGTTTGGCTTGCAACCGTCACTAACTTTACTGCAGACAAACAAACATAATTGGTGACATCCAGTTCAACTTAACCAGCAAAAAGTAACATGGAAACTCCAAATTGCGCTCTATAACTATCTTCTTAAAGCGATTATCTCGCTGTTGCGGGCCAATCTGCTGATCCTTCACGGGATCAACTATGTTTTGGTGGTTCACTCTCATGACCACAATGCACAAAGTTTTCCAAATATGGAATGACAAAAGCACCACCTTTCTCCTCCCTTTCGCTCTCAGTGCGAGTGACAATATGTTCGTCATCGCTGATATCGCTTTCAACCTCATTCCAAGGTATATCATGGTTCACATCACTGGGTTCTCTTTCAATTTCATTCCAACTCACATCATGTCCATTGTCACTAGCATCGGTTTCATAATCAACCAACGATGCATCGTGTCTATCAGCATGAACGTCACTTCCACTTCTAAGTTCACGAGTATTCCTTCGCCCTAGCAAAACGAGGTCCAATAACTTCCTCCTGATTTCATAGACTGGGTTGGGCTCAACCAAAAACCCTTGGCTGTATGCTTCTCTGAGGAAAACCATCTGGGTGTTCCCTTTAGTAGACAAATAAAATATACCGGGATGCTTCAAAAGAAGTTCCCTTATGTTGACCTCAATTCCAAGATCCTTCCGAAAATGCACCAATTTCTGAACCTCCACCATTTTCTCAACCGTTAAGCACAGCAACTCATGAATAACTGCCACCGCCCTCTTCTCATACCGTTTCATGCCCCCGCGGTTCCTTCCCTGAAGGAACTCCTTTTTCTCATAAGGCTTCACATAAGAAAGCCTTTGCCAGTTCCTTAATTTCTCCTTGAAGCCAGGCTGTTTCTTAAACCCGGTGGGAAAGTTCATTGGAAAAGCGTACTTGACCTCGAATTCACTCAGCCACTTCTCCGTAAACTCTGTTTCCCTCCACTTTTCGACCTCAGCCACACCTGAAAAGGACCTCTCGCTGTCGCCACCATCACAATCCACAAAATCCTCATCGACCAATTCAAATACCTCCATATCTACTATCCTAAATACATGATCATACTTCTCAATAATGCACTCACGAAAATCCTGGGGCAAGCCGAATTCCCTCCTGGTCAACCTCAGGGCATGAAAGTGAAGACTCCGATTAACAGACATCAACAGGATCCTCTGAATCTTAAGCACATTCTCAAGTTCCAGGTTACGAATCACGCGCTCCTCCTCCTCCAACAAATTGATAAATCCGGGCCGAAACTTAAAGCAAGCATTTTTCCTGACTGGGTGAGTAAAAACGTCGAACACATGGGGGTACTTCCGGAGAAAGTGGCCGACGGGGACATTGGGGAGACCGACGTGGGGGGCACAGCTGGAGAGTATGCGGAGAGAGACAAAGGGGCCTCGTCTTCGGGCGGAGAGGAAGCGGTGGAGGTTGAGGATGCGGTTGAATCTAACAATCCGGGCGGTGAGAGGGTCCAACTTGGGGTCGATGGTTCGGGCCTGGATACGGGTTTGGGCGGTGTTGGCAGGCTTCTTCTTCCAGCGGGTTTGGAGGGAGAAGAGGGCAGAGGAGAGTGGGAAATGGTGAGGCTTAGGTTTGGATGGGTTGTGCTGCAGAATTGCCGCCATTTCTTTTTTTGTTTGAAGATTTCCGTTGGCACTTTGGTAGAAGAGGACAGTCCTAACTGCCAACGGTAAAAACTAAATTCATCCTATGACTCCATCCATGGGGTCCTAAATTTATTATACTAGCATGTTGTTTTAATTGAAAGTAAAATCTTAAAAATATATTTTTATATTTATCACGGTCTTCTAATTATTATTATAAAAATTTTTTAAGATTTTATTTTGAGTTAAAACAATATACTAAATGAAATTTAAGATAAATACCAAGGTACTTCATAATTGGAAAATCTTCTATACAGCTGACGTAGAATTGTGCAGCCAGACATATAAATAAGATAATATTGTAATTTTATCGGGAAAGTTACAACAAAATTAGGGGACCATAATATTTGTTGTACTAAAAAAGGGAATATATTTGCTGTATAAAATAATTTTTCCCTCATAATAAGGATTGCAAGAAGTAGTACAGTACTTACTCTGTTGTATATACTTATACTAATAATTTTACATTTTTTTTTCTTTTTTTTGGTGTAAGCTGTCAATTTTTATTGATAGAATTAGTTCAACATTTTAGCATTTTTCGGTGTTAACATCATGTTGTGCTAGGAGAATATGGAGGAGAGAGGCTCTAACATTCATCAACCTCTTCAAGAAAGTACCAAAGTCCAAGTGACCAAACCAACATCCCATCATTCAAAAACATTTCAAAACTCCATTTCTCAGCATCTGAACAAGCCACGTAATTCACCATCCATCTCCTAAAATCATGATTCGGTCAAGGAAATAAATGTGGATTACAAGACACATACAAATAAACTCTCGCATCAAATGGTTCCAGGTGTGAGTGTGGTAGAGGAAATCATCCTCTACGGGTGCTGCATAACTATGTATGTACAAACTGTTTCAGATTTAGGGTTTCAATCTACATTTCTTTGCATAATAATCACACCCTTCATAAACTTCTAATCCTTCCAGTTTAAGTTCATCTTCTTTGTAACACGCACATCGTTTGCTCATTTTCCCAGTCAAAGCTATTTCTATTGGCCGCTTTACTAGCCGGGGAAAGCCATCATCACACCAAACCTGAACCAAGCAAAGTTCAAGCACTGACTTTTAGTGTAACACACACACAGAAGAGCAAGTCTTTATGTGTAGCCAGATAGACTAGATATTTCCCAAAAAAAAGACAAAAAAAAGATAGATTAGATCTGAACTACTGGAACTGTCACCATTCTGAAAGATTGATCTCTTTTATTTAAATTGAAGTTATACATGTTTTCACCTTGAATTGGGGAAAAAAATAAATTCTAAGGTCGTTACCTCTGAGCCTTCATCTTGACTCCACCGCGAATTGCATCCTGGTACTTTAGCTTCTTCAATTTTCTGTTTCTCCAGGAGCTGAGCTCCTCTAGCAGCCTTTGCCTCAACCCCTTTTAAGTACTTAGTTGGGTTGCCCTCCTTATCATAGTAGCGACCGACCAACTTACCAGTGTATCTGTTAATTGCAATTCAGAGTGTGATCAAAGATGAACTCAACAAACTATGCAAGCTCACGGACAATTCCTTGCACGCTCATGGATTCATCACTTACATATAAGTTCTCGTGTAGAAATCTCTCCATTCAACAATGCTTTTCACCTGCACATATAAAAATCGACATGAAGCTCCTTAGCAATCATAAGTAAAGCAAACTACATACCACTCTGAAGAACTTGAAGCAAAGATTGTTGTTAACAGGTAAAGGAATGACTGCTTCTCATATGAGATACGAGACGTTGCAGGAAACAAAAGTCTTGCATATGAGATAATTAAAGAACATGAAATCATGTTACATACATACTCCAGCACTGATCAACGGGGAAACAAGAAGATGTGTGCACATGTCAACACACACACACCCAAAAAAGAAAAAAAAAAAAAAAAAAGGACAAACAGATAAAAGTCCTGAAAAAGAAATGCATAATTACTAACAAGAATCGCCATCATCAAGAATGGAAAAGACTTCTCGTACCTCAGTACTGGATAGACCAAGCAAGGAGTCCGTGAGCCCATCTCCTGCAAAAGAAACCATGGCAGGTAACTTAAGAAAGAAACAGAACCTTTATTATTGAACAAACTGCAATTCAATAATGATTTCTTCAATTTTCATAAGGATCTAATCACTCCTTTCCTGCTGAGATTATCCATGTCTCTGGTTTCACATCTTTCAAAACAGGGCATGCTTTATCAACCCGTGCCAGTAGTAGAAAGAGATTCACTAATGAACATTCATACTAGTGCCAGTAGTACACAATCAGTTTGGTCCAAACATCACTTCAACATCCTCAATACCCATAATATTCAAGCCTATTAATCTCATTAAACGGATGAAGGTTGAAAATCATATCAGCAACTAACTAAAGAAAACTGCAGAAATAAATGTACCTGTAAAATTTCCAGAAACAAATGCCCGAGAAGCATCCCTGTATAAATTTATAAACACAATGTGGGGATTTACAAGCGCAAAGATGGCAACATCATGAACAATATTTAGAATGTAAATTGACTCAATAGCTTATGCACCTTCCACCATTAGAAATTCTTAGAAAGAAGAATTTCCTCTGCACTTAAAAAATTTTACTCAATCACAAACAAGATGGATAAAGTCCGATTTTTAAGCATGCCAGGTGAAACCATGACTACTGCCAAAGAGATGTAATAATTTAAAAATGCCACAACGAATTAAATTTATCCACAGCTTGTATTCGTCCAAACTCCACAGTACCAAATGAAAGCAGTAACAAAAACAGCATAATCAGATGACAGAGGAATGATAATTCTTGGAAAAGTTTAATGAAAGAAAATCATCAAACAGGGAAAGAAGAAAACTACCTCCCAGCAAAGTGGTTGTAGCCCCCTCCAGCACCATAGTGACTCTTTCCTCTAGTTACATCAAACACTGAACTGATATATATCCGAATACCAACCCAAAAATCAAAATAAAATCACAATAAGAAAAAATAATGATAATAATAACAATAATCAAGCATTTATTTATCAAAAGGAAACAGAGGACCGAACATATTACCCAAGAATTCCAAGAAATATGGGCAGCTCAGGATCAGTACCATTGTAAACAGACAGCTCCTCTGCACTGAAAAGTCTCTGCACGCATAACAAAAGGAAAAAAGATAGAGCAAAGTCAACAAGATTGAATCTTTGAACCCAAGCAAGCCTGATTTTCATTCTGCATTCCATACAAGAGATCTAAAACTTTGTATATTTGATGAATAATTTGATCTTTGAACTCCTCACTAAAGCAAGAATGCAACTTCTTTCCAGCACTTTTCAATCAATTCACAAGCAATCTAAAACCTAACAAGTTACCACCAACTAGATCGATCAGTACATAGTTCTGATGCAAAGATTCATTCTTTAAAACATTAACAAAGCTAATGATGCTTCATTATTTTTTTTTTTCCCCCCTGCACTGTGCGAGAAATTAAAAACCCGCCAAGTCACCATCTATACTGATCATCTTTACATATTTCTACAGCGAAATTCAGACTTTGCCCTTTATAACCCATGAGTTAAGAATCATTTCTCAACACTCGGCAATACAACGGAAAGAACAGGAAACCCATAATATGTAAATTCACCACTACTTTCAAAGACTTACATACCTGAGCTTGTGTGGCAGAGTACAAGGAGCTGAAGCTGAAAGGGTGATTAAGAATCCTGAAGAACAGAAAAGAAATGAGAGCAACAGCGAGTGGAATCCCCAGAAGAGAAGAAGACCAAAAGCCCATCTTCGAATGAAAGATTTTCTCTGATGGTTTCTATAATCTTTACAAATTTGATTGGGAAGATTCCTAGTTGGATTCTGCAAGAACTTTGAAAATTTAAAATAAAACAATAGAGTTTGTTACGGGTCCTCGGTTAAGACTTAAAAGAGTATGGGAGAAACAAGTCAAACTCTAAGTCTACTGTTCTGTTAGGGATGCAGCAGTAGTTCATTTTTATGCTTTTATGCCAACCATTTCGGTTTCGCACCTCAGCCATTAACCCCTTCTGTAATATTTATGGAACATTCAGGAATATTTGATGAGATGTTTTGTTGAGGAGGAATTCTTGCCCTATATATTTTTGGCTAAGAGTTGGGAATCTAGATAGAAGTAATTGTTTGGTATATGTAACGGGTATGCATCATTCTTCGCATGGGCGTGTAACTATCACTCAAGCCAATTTCCTTCATAAAAACAAAAAAGATCTCTCAATAAATTTAGTAGCATTACGCAAATTCCTTCAAAAGTTCAATCTTGACAAAAAGAATAACTAAATTACATATTATCCCATTTAATTAATCTTGGAGGATCACTTCCCTTTTAGCAAAACATGCTTGCTGCATTACATGTTCGCATCAAAGTAAACAAAGCACAAATGCACAAGTTGAAGTTTCAAGCAAAGATAACTCTTTTAGTACTTGCATTCTCAGAAGACGCAGGAGGAAAAGGGATCTTTGGCAACAAGAAAACATGCACTACTAACTAATATATATTTACACATAAATATAGTACGCGTTGCCCATATGAGGCCGTTTTCTACACAAAATTACCCTTTTCGTCGCAACACAGGGTGAAAACGCAAAACACATTTTCCTGTTGATCGAGATAATAATTACTAAGCAAGAGATTGCACTGAGGCACAACATTCCAATTACATTGACAGAAGCCACATAGGTAAAGAAGGCCACAAGTGTTAATCCAACAAAAATTCCCCAGTATCACCATAAACATCCGATTGCCATCTACTACTCCAGTAGTACTGCTATCAGCTACACTAGGGCATGCCTGTGATGATGGGATGCAGCCTAGCCTCCCCTTACGTCAAACAAATTCCAGAGATCTTCCATGGTTAAGCGAGTTGCATAGTTGCCACTTGGATCTTCACCAAAAGCAGATGCAACCATTTTCCGCTTTTCTTCCTGGATTGAGGAACACCCATAAAAAAAAAATAAAAAAAAATGAGCGCATTAAGTAGGAATTTAAGATGCAAACTAATCCATCTAGAACCACTCAGTAGCAAATACATGGCCTCGTGATTTAGTTTGTCTAAGCAGCAAGGAAAAAACTGAAGGAAAAAAAAAAAAACAAAAACAAAAAGGAACTCCCTTGCAATCTCCCCCAACAAAAAGAAAAAGAAGAAATTCTGTTTGAACCAAATCAAAATCAAACAAGTAACTGAGACCGCGGTTGCATCAAGAAAGGAATCAGAAAATACACAAGATGTCAGATTCAAAGTTAAAAATCAGACACCATACAATAATACATATGAAGGTTTACCTGCAAAGCCAAAATCCGATCTTCAACCGTATCCTTAATGGTTAACCTTGTCACAGTAACAGCACGGGTCTGCCCTATTCTATGGGCTCTGTCAACAGCCTGGTCTTCCGTAGTTGGATTCCACCAAAGATCCAAAAGGATTACATGACAAGCTGCCACCATATTGAGACCAAGATTTCCCGCTTTTAGAGACATTAACATGACAGTCACCTGCAAGAAAACCAAAACATCAAATCATCATTTAATATTCAACTGAAAACCACCAAAACAAAAAACGATAAATGGTACATAATAGACATTGAAGAGGGAACTGAGGCAGAGGAAGTGACTGCCACATGTCAACTATCTTCCCCCTACTGAACACAATCTCAACCATTTCCCACACCAAAAAAAAATAAAAAAATTAAGCAAACACAACTGGTTAGCTTTGTTGCATAAAAAAATAAAATATATATATATATATATATATTTGTAGCTCAATGAGATTGTAGACAAATGGTCCATTAATGCTTCCAGATACTCAACAAATCCTACAAAAATAAAGCCCTACAATGTGCAGAAAGTATGTGAAAAGAAACTATTGGTAACCATTAAGATGCAGTCATGTCCCCTCCTATCTCATCAGACAAACGGTCAACAAGACTTTACAAAATTACAATCCATTAATATACCTAACTTAATCAATGGACAGGGTAGTATCCAATATTATTAAGCTTAATCATTAATCAAAATCAATTCATGCACACATTACAATAAAATTTGAGCATCAGCACTTGTTCCGGTCATAATACTCCAGCATATTATAAATTGAAAAACTTGATAAACCATTAATGCCCTCTGTAGTCCAGACACAAAATTAATGACTCAGTCCTTACACCCAGAAACAAAATCTTATTCAATATAAGAATAACGAGGGGACAAAAAAAGAGCATACACAAGCATTCACAAGTAAAACACTTTCAAGGTATGAGAATACAACCTCAAGTCTAGTGTTGAAATCTTTAACAGTCTTATCTCAAAATCTTATTCAATATAAGAATAACAAGGGAAAAAAGAAGAGCATACACAACTCAAACATTCACAAGTAACACACTTTCAAGGTCTGAGAATACAACCTCAGGTCTAGTGTTGAAATCTTTGACAGCCTTATCTCTAGCAGCCAGAGACATTGTACCATCAAGTCGTCTGTACTGAAGACCAGTGTTGCCAAGTGAGTCCTCTAACAAGTCAAGCATGCCTGTCCACTGGGAGAAAACAATAGCTTTTGCTGGTTTCAAGGACACCAGTTCAATCATCTCTGAACTAGGAATGGATGGTTGGCAATATGACTCTAGAATCTGAAGAGCGGCTTTGATCTTTGAACTGCTTTTATTTTCCAGGACCATCGATGTTTCACCTTTTACAGATGAACCAGATGGATCACTGGAGAAATCATCAGAAAGGCACTCCTTCAATGTAGCTTTTGTAAAAATCACATCTGTACTGACTAGTTCTTTGCATCCAGCTTCAGGACACGTGGGATCCTCCCCTGTCAAGTGATCAGTCACACATTGAAAGCAGAAAACATGCCCGCAAATGGTAACCACTGCATTTTCCGGAATATCCTGCAAAAAATTACACAGCGGGCTAAACTTACGGTTATTTTAAGAGGTAGTAAAACATTAACGAAGTTTGTTCCAAATATTGCAAGAGAAATAGCAAATTGTACGCAAACTTATACGTAGTTTGCTCTATTACGCAACATGTGTACAATCCCGTAAAATAAAAGTATGCTTTGTTTGCACGTTCCCCCTGTTCAGACATTTTAATCACAATGTCCCCTTGAACTCTCAATCATTGCATTGTAAACAAAAAAACCAATTAATGCCAAATGACATACATATTTGAGAATACCAATTAGCACATAAGTAATAATCCAAGAATGGTCTTACAATGCGAAACACTATTAAGGATAAACAAAAACTCCTATTAATCAATTTACAAAGTTAAACAAGCTCATCATGTTGCAGTAAATCCGCATCTACAACCTATGGTGTCAAAAAAATGTATAAAATAAGTAGAAAGAGAAAATCACCAGCCCACAAAATGGGAGGAAACTACAGAGAAGAAAACACCCATGGTAAACGTGGAGAACATAAGGAAGAAGCTATTCAATAAAATTTAGGATTATATTTCAACTTACACTACATGAACCACAGATTGCTAAAGAGGTTTCCAACTGCTCCAACAAACTTCGAACTCTCTGTGCTGGCAAGCTCTTCGCAACTTTTGAAGATTCTCTTCTGGTTACATCAGAACCAAACCCCTTGACAAGTAATGGATGATCACAAGCCTGACGAAGGCGTAGAAGCATCAGAAGAATATTTGCGTAATTTTGATTGACAGTGCCTGCAGCAGCATAGGCCTGCACAATCAAGCGCATACTTCAGAATTCAGATTGACATGAGGAAATAACTAGAAAGAATTTAATTCTATGTACAAACAGTTAACTCATCTAACTTATTGGAGAAGATGCAGATACCGAACCATTATCGCCATCTTCAAATGACGATCCCATTAGTTCAAAGGAAGAAGTAAAATATATAAAAAATACTAATTAAATCACTTCTATATCATATAATCCCACCATAATATCCCAGAAGACCTGGACACACAACATAATGAAAGCTTTCTTTTCAGCGAAAATTATAAAATTTAAATTACAACTAAAAATTTATTGATAAAGTTCCAGAGAAAACTAATCACAAAATTAAGAGCAATGGTACAGATAGTGAAAATGCATAGTGACTGATGTGTACATAATAATTAGGGGCAAAAGAGTAATTTAGGGGGGGGGGGGAATTTCAACGCAAAGTGGCAACAAAATAGGGGGTACACATCAGTCACTATTTCTTTCACAATAACTTTTCACTACACATATCATTTTCCCAAAATTAAACCCAAAAAAAGAAGAAAAACCCAATGCAAAGTTAGAAAAGAAAACACTAAACCTTCATACAAAAAATAAGAAAGAAAAGAAAAGAAAAGAGGGAGAGAGTGACAGACTTAGAGGTTTGAAGGGAATGCAATTTATAATATTCTAAAACATGAACCCTAGAAAACCCCTGCATTTATCAGTAGTACGTCTTCAATTGTAAGAAAATAAATTACTAACAGAGAAGCATGTTTGTTACAAAAACATGATATGGACTCCCCCCATCAAATCAATAATAACGTTGGTTATAAACAACTTCAAAAAAGAGTAAAAGGATCACCTTGAACTGTGAGCGGGAATCTGATTCAAGTTGATTATAGAAAGCTCGTTCTTCAGAAGAGAATTCTACTCTCTCTAAATGTACAGTTTTCGGGGGTAAAGCTATTATTGGCTTACCGTCAAGCAATGTTCCTATACAACAAAACAGAACAGCAAAAAAAAGGAAGACAAGACCAAGAACGATCAGTATACAATAAAGTGATATAGAGTATATCAACAAGATTCCATCATCCGTAATGCCAATAGAAATAGAAATGACAAAAGAAACTGAAGATGAAAAGCTTCAACAAGTAGGAAAAGTTATAGCTAAACCCTCAGAGAAAGGACCCCAAAGTGATAAAAATCATGGATTTAGAACAATTTGTTTAAATTTTCGCATAAATACAGAATGGAAACCTATTTCATTCATTAAATATAACCCGCCTGAACTTGATATAGCCTTTTGGGCAACCAATGGACAGCAGGTGTTAGTTTTTCACTCTTTTGTTTAACAAACTAAACTATTATCAAACAAAGTGTATAAAGTGTGAGTACTTTGATGGTTAAAAAATATATGAATTGGGAGATTCCACCATAAAGGATGAAAAAAAAAAAAAAAGGAAAAAAAGTGAGAGAAAACGTAGTAGCATAAACTTTAGTTATCATCTCCAATTTGAGCCACTTTTAAGGACATGAACCAAGCCCAACCCGGCATCATCAACATGAAAACATTTGCATTCATTTTGTAAAACCAACTTGACACAGTGTCAATCAGCAGATCAAAAATTTGCAAGTGTTAAAAAGGCAGGACTCTCGAGAAGTAAGAAATCCCTAAACTTGATCAGCTAGCATACATGTGATTAATTTAGTGCGCAGCAAATGCACTTATTCCAGCACAAAAAGTCAATATAAAACATGCAAAAAGAACATTACAACTGCACATTTTCTGACAGGCCCATCTAACAGGGTTATTGCATGCAACTAGATGAAGAAGAAACAAGCACCTTTAGTTCGGCGCAACATTATGGCCTTCAACACAACCTGAAGTCTCCTGTAACCACGATTTGAGTCTCTTGATATAGCAACTTTAATTCCAAGAAGAAATTTCTTGTAGTTACTGTAAGGATCATGTCTCAAAAATCTGAAATAGCTGAACAACTCATCAATGGCATTCTGTATCGGTGTTCCAGATAAACACCACCTCCTTTTTGCTCTAAGGCTGCAGCAAGCTCGAGCTACTTGAGTCCTATGGTTCTTAATTGATTGTGCTTCGTCCAAAATAATTCTAAACCAACGAACCTTTGCAAGGGCGCCACCATCAGAAGCATCAGAGTGCAACCCCTTTTTACCTTTTGTTCCCTTTCCATTACCTGATATTTTCTTTGGTTTCTTGGTAGAAAATTGAGAAGATAATCCATATTTCTCTTCAATATGCTCAGTTTCCTCTTCATCTACCAAAGGCTGTTTTGGAACTTCAATTGTCACAATAGAATATGTAGTTATAACCACATCGTATTTAGCCAGTTCAACGGGATCCTTAGTCCTGTTGCCTCCATGATACATTAATACAGAAAGCTTAGCTTCATCCGTGACTTTCTCGTCCAACTCACGAGCCCATTGCCGAAGCACGCTTGCCGGACAAACAACTAATGTACCAGCTGCCGGCTTCATATTGTGAAATTTATTCTTGGAGGTACCTCCTTTTAAAATCTCTTCTTTATTATCAGACTCGGGTTTTGGCTTTAGCTCGATAGGGGCACTTGCAACAGTGACATCCTCGTCGTCCTCCAGATTCAAGGCTTCAGGTTTAATACTGGAAACCTGCTCGCTCTTGTACTTATCCTGTGATGATTTTTGCATTTGTATGAGCGCGATCATCGAGATAGTCTTACCTAGGCCCTGTTAAACGATACAATAAAGCCAAAGAAAAATGTCATGCGCCAAACTGGAACACACGCCAAATGCAAGCTGAACTAAGGCATGGTGTAACAATATTACCTGATCATCAGCCAGAATTCCACCCACACAAACACCCCCTTTTTCCTTCTCTATCAACCACGCTAAGGCGATTTTCTAGTGATTGGCAGCAAAATAATTTCTTAAATTCGAAAAACTTTCAAAAATCAAAAAGATAACTAAAAGGGCAGAAGAAAACCTGATGAGGTAAAAGAGAAACCGATAAGACACCCTTGGGTACATCAGTTGCACCAGTAGTTCCAGTAAGATCCTACCAAAACCACAAACATTAGCAACTTTTCTAGACACTAACAATTCAACTGGATCAAGAAGCAAACTCACCTAGGCAATATTAATAGCAATATATAGTGTAAGAAGATATTAAAATGCAACAGGACAGGAACAAAAATCCTAACACAATCAGTATCTATATTCAAGAAATTAGTTGTTCTCTCTTGTAGCAAGGTTCAAACAAAAGGCAACCATCCAAACTTCTTGAGATTCTAAATTTGACGGAAGTTGAATTCACGACCATTTCCATGGCATCTGAATAAATGCATCAATATTTAGGCTTGTTTTACAAGTTTTAAGATCACAACAGGCTTTCCATTGAAACAAAAGAATGAGCAGAACATCACAATCAATCAACTTTCATAAGTTGATATTAAAGGAGACGGCCAAGAGAAATTTCTTACTGGATGCAATTTCAAAAGATTTTCACCACAACATCAAGACACAAAATTTGAAAATAAAAATGTAGCATAAAGATAAAATCGTATAAAAGGGAATGTTATCTTAGCCTAGTTGGTAAGGCTCAAAGTGGATCTGAGAAGTCCATGGATTGAATCCAGTCTGGTTGGGGGTGGGAGAAGAAAACATATAAAACTTCACGTAAAACAGTTTCCACCTATTTGTCCCCAGAACTGAGCCCACTATTGGAAGTGTCCAAATATTCTCCTATCAAATAAAAAAACAAAAATTGACTCGCCATTACTAATAATCTGAACCTACTTTTAGGAGCTTATGATTCCTATAAAGAAAACGCGAAACAGATGATATCATGACGTTCAAATCAAATAGAAGTGCTTCAGTAAAAAATCAACTAACCTTCAAAGCTGCTTGAAAAAGCATCCTTTCATCAGTTCCATGTAGGTTTTCTTCAACATCCCCCATTTGATGAGATGGGCCACTCAAATTGACAAATGAAGAAGATGATGCAGATCTTCCATGGGCTAAAGATGGTGGTAACACCCTACTTCCTTTGTTTTCAGACACAACTACATTATTATCATAGGCCCTGCTCCTACCAAACTCAGTATTTTGCCGGAACTGACTACCAGGCATGTCCACAATATATTTTCTCCCAGAAGTGGGCATAGAAGGGTGAACAGACGATGGAAGGATCCTCGGCCGCTTAGAAGATGGCCAATCATTGTCTGTCAAAAACACCAAAAATGGAAGAGGAATTCAATAACAATCCTGAAACCAAAACTCCAAAACTCTTGCAGCTCAAGCTTCCTTACCATCTATACTGTAATATTCAGAGTGGTTATCACGAGCTGTTTGCGAACGCAAAGCGCCTTGATTGCTAGAGCTAGCATGCATTCCGGGTTTGAAACTGGGAGCAGATGTAACTTTTGACGCAAATGGCCTTTTAGTTGGACGGTTTGAGCCACCATTTGCTGCATATTCATTCGAAATAACAATCTATTTTAACCACACATCAACTAGTTACACCACATACATGGTCCAGTAGAAGAACTCCAACATCTACATCTATAAATGTAAACTTAACCCGTCAGCTTACTGTGATTAGGATGTTCAAAACCGTTGTCTCGAGTCGAGCGTGCATGAAATGCTTCTAGATCACCACTGGATGAACCTCCGTTGGTAATGAATGACTGTCTGGCAGACGAACCTAGCCGGGGTGGACCTCCAGTAACTGCAAATTCAATCAAGGACTCTGATTTCACACTGCATTTAGTTCACTCAGGATCTACCATTTTCAAACATAAAATTTTTTATTTCACCTGCTGTACTAAAGGAACTGGGTAGTTGCCTCAATAAAGGACCACTAGCAGCAGAGGACGTGGCTGTATCCCTAAAAGATGATTCGTCTCTGTATTCATCTATTTCCCTAAAAGTGGAATCATCAGATGAACTGCTGATAGAAATAAGGTCCATCTTATCTACTGCCGATGGATAATTATCTTCTCTCCAAGGAATCAAACTAGAAGATTGGCCGAATAAAGAACCAACCTGCATGAAAACACCACCAGCATATCATTTAATCCAATATATATCCCCCCAAAAGAAAAACACAATCTAATATGTATCAATAGCAAGATTGCTCCAGCCGCTCACTCTGAACCATTAGAAAATAATTTTTTAAAAAAAAACCCTTCTCACCACTCGGAAGAATGGCCTTAAAACAACATTGATAAGCAGCCCTTCAAACGAAATCTTTTTAGCAGAGACTCCCACATTCTGCAGAGAATCCTTCTGGTTAGACATCTAAACTGTATGCATGTCTCTAAAATTTGCACCACCCCTTCACCAAAAACATAATGCAAATAAGTTTTTCATGGAACATAAAACAATATTCTGGGAAAGAAAAAGTGAATAAACAGTAGATATACATACACATGAAGCTGAGAACAAAGAAAATTACACATGAACAAGGAATACAGCCCAACTAATTCATCAAAAATGAAATAAATTTTACCAAGAACAAAACCCAAAACTTCTACAAAGTAAAGTTCCCCCACCATCCGAAAAAATAAAATAAAAATTAAAAGCTAAAACATTGCCATTGCCAAATTGGTATGTTGGCCATGCATGAACTACTTTTGGTCCAATAAATTGCAGAAGAAAATCAAAACCTACAAGAAACAAAAAAAAATAAAAATAAAAATAAACAAAAGACTCAATCTTGGAGCATCCCATATCATGAAATTATACAAAAACAACGATGATTCACACGTAGCAACCCAAATTGAAACTTAAATTTCTTCCCTCTAAAAGTAACCACGTGGTATACACCCAATTGACGCATTTCAATTTCCCACAATAAGTAAGAAACAATATGAACCAAAAACGACAAAAACAAAAAAAAACGGGTAATCGGTTAAACTGATTACCTGATGGAATATGGGTTTTGTCTACACATGTAGAAGATTCAGTCTGGAATAGTGGGATTGTAGTAGTACTAATTATGTGTGGAAGTTTGAATGGGGAAGGATCAAAAAGTCCCAATTCAAAGGGGGAAAACCCTAATAAATTAGCAAAATTTGGGATTCGGAATGTTGGGAAAACGGTGCTGACGAGAGGGAAAGAAGAGAGAAAGAATGCACGAGGGTTTATTGCAGTAGCCTCAGTAGTTCGTACCTTCTAAAATCTTTTTTGAGTTTTTGAGGGTTCAAACTTCAAAAATACACAAACGTACATGACGTCCACCGTCTATGGATCCCTTTGTTAGATTTTGTTGATCAGTGTGGGAGACTACTTTCTAAAGTTGTAACTGAAATAAGTACTTTGTCAGATTTACCAAATCAATTTTGTTAGAAACAAATAGTCATGCGAGCGGTTTTTTCATCTTATCCTATGAGCTATTTACATATTCTTTTCGTCCCATTTTAATAAACTGTTAACTGTCTTTTTATTTTAAGGTGTCTCATTAAATAGGTTGGTTTCCTTATATAGAATTAATTTTTTAAATAAAATTCCAAATCTACTCTTAATTCAACTAACCACTAAGGATTATTGAGTGAATTGGAATCAGTGAAAAGAGACAAATTTTGTTTTTTTAAAATAGTTGTTATGAGATGTTTTGAGTTTGGAATTAATGAGTTATGTTGATTTTACGACTTTCAAAAACAAATTAAAGTCTTCGTTGAGAGTACTTTAGAAAGATTAAGGTAAAAGTTAGTTAAATTAGTTTTATTGATACGTGTGAAAATTAGTACAAATCTATTGAATTGAGACATAAAGAGTATGATAATATAATACTCAGAGTATACGTTGGTCTAAAAAGAAAATATCTATTTGGCCAAACTTTTTAAAATTTATTATTAATTTGTTCATAGCTTGGGCAGTATTCATATCGCTAAACATTGAAATAATTATCCAAACAGAAATTATTTTAAAATATACTAATGAACCTTATAAGGAATTTTTCAAAATTTCTTTTAGTTCTATTTATAAAGCATTTTTTTTTTAAGTTCCTCTTGATCCTATTTATAATAGAGTGATTACAGGGATGAAAGAGTATCAAATCTCTACAACCAAAAAGTATGAAAAATTACAATCTGTATCACTAAAAAGAGGAGGTCTTGGCTTCTTGAATAGCAAGCAGTTGCAATAGTCAGGAGGGTCAAGTTGCTCCCCTGGTTTCACATTCTATCCAAACGGCATACTCAGGCTGCTTGTAGCCTTGTAGGCTTCCTGTTCTTCAAACAGGCGCCAATTTTCTGAAGCTGCAAATCTAACCACCATAAGCATCTTCATCATCATCAGCTAGTCTTATTATCTGCGCCAGCAGCGAGGATGATTTTCTAGTTGTGGAGTTGATGCTTACAATGTGGATTTTACTCTTTACCTCTGGATAATCCCATCATAGTATGACTAAGATTCATTCGTCGTCATCATCGTCCATCACATCATCATCGCGTGGCTTCTTTAACAGCAGTCTCAAGGGGAGTGTCACACGGTTTTGATATGCAGTAGAATTTTACTGGATCAATCTTTGCCTAATTTTGCGTGGCTCTCCGAGTTTCAACCAAAAACTACAAGCCGCCTCCGTGACAGTATCATCGAGCAATTTTGTTTCAAGCCTATGCACATGACATGGGAGAAACCATCCCCAGTTTCAGCATCTGCTCTTGTACCAACCACTAAGGATTAAGCCAATGTGTAGCACAATCTCACAGGCCAACATCGATTCACAAGAGTTCCATTCCTGCCCCAGTTGCAAAACTAACAGACAAGTCTGCAAGAAGTTAGACTCATAAATAGAGATTACCAGAGATACTACTATCAGTCACTCCTTTAAAGGTTCTCATTGACAATGTTCCAAAAGCAAGCTTGAAACCCTCATTCACTTTGCTATAATGAATCACATAATAATGCTGCAGCTTTAGAAATTCAACTCTGACATTATTACCAATTTAACAGTAAAGAAGCAGATGGAGAAGAAACCACAGGAAATCATTTCAATTGAACTGTTTCAATATGTTTCACTCCTAAACAAAGGTCGAAACCATTTCACAGTTCACGTTAAAATGAAATGAAGAAAAGCACTCATACAGATAACTACAACGATGTGGTTCATTAGATCCTAGACATGAGAAAGAGTATTATAAGACAGTGAAATTTTCATCAGCTGCATTTGATATCAAATTTTCATCCTCAAACGTTAACAAACTTGCTAGTGGATTTGAAGTGACATAACAGTAATTTTCTTAGGCTGTATCACCTTATCAGCATAAGAATCCAGAAATTAAATAAGCCCATTTTAAAATGAATATCATCCGTGATTTGGTAGTTCATAGAAAACACAGAAGTGCCCCTTATTGGCCATGTTAAAAATGAAAATTTTGTAAAAATGAGGTGTGTGTGCGGCGCGCATGTTTGTTGTTGGTGGTGGTGGCGGTGGTGATCGGGTGGGGTGGAGGGTTGGTATTTTTAAAGAAATTCGCAAATGTATACATGCTCATAAATTCATCAATCTACATCTGAAACACTGAAGTTCAAGCAAAAATTTATAATAATCCATAAAAGGTGACAGGAAACGCTTACACATTCACTTCTCATGTCACAACCATCCCGGTGCTACGAGTTACTCAGGCCTCTTTGCTGTTCGCTCCACATCTACGGATGTGACCAGTGGACTGGGATGAATACCAATTAATTTATCAGTTCAGTCACCAAACAGGATGCAGCTAGGAAATGGATATGGAAGTTATGGGGATAAGAGGAATATATAGGCAGAAAGTAGGACCAAAATTGAATGTTACTTATTTACTAGATTGACACATCAGACAAATCCAGACCAGAATTAACATGAAAGTGCAGCCTTGAAATCTTTTTGAGTTAAAATTTCCAAAAAAGGAAGTCTTTGGTTTTATATCCACCAGCCAAACCGCACTTACGGTAATTAAACTCGTATCATATCTTACCAATCCAATACGACCATATTTCACCATGAGGTGTGAAATAAAAAACCACCAGTGAGGTTTTAAGCCCAAAGCTCTAAGTTAGCAATGAAAAGGTGTGTGTTCTTTTTGTGTGTGTTATACTGACCAACTGAAAAATCACATTATTCTCAAGTCATAGCTTAAATTCTATCCCAAATAGGTAAATTTTAAGAAACAAATGTATTAGTGCCTTACCTAATTGGTGGAGAGGGGAGGATCCTCTTTTTCCAAAACAGGGCAATTTTAAACAAAGTCAATTAGCTTTTAACAGTAAACTACTATCGCCACACAAAACACTACAATATGACACCAACAAACTCATTTACCAAGGTTGCATCTTGTAATTTATATTACTCATTTGGACAAATGAAATACTAAGCCATAACTTGAGGAACCAAATTCTTATTTATTATGAAATATATTTTAGCACCAGCTTTGAAGATCATTCAAAGTCCACACAAAAATGTGAATAGCAAGGAGATAAATCCAGATTAAATGAAATGCAAACATCAAACATGTCAGCCTGAATTTATGGGTCATCGGCAACCAGAGCAACAAGGTTGTGTTTAAGAACATTGGACACTTTAGTCATGTGGGAACAGGTTGTGTTTACGAACATAGAACACTTTAGTCATGTGGGAACAATTGACAGTTCAAGAATTAACATAAATTAAACCAAGGCTTATGTTTCTCAGTCAAACACAATTCACATACACTCTCCCCCTAGCCACCGACTGAAGATTTTAACCATAACATTAGCATAGCAGCGTATGGAAGTTTCAATGTATAGAATCCAAATTGGATTAAACAAATGAAAAGCAAAATACATAAGCTTGACAATAGTTAAAAATATTTCAACAAAGAACAGATTTTGCAATATTAGTTGATGATGTGTACCTCGGTGGCTAGGCCTTGACGAATCATGTCTAATCAGTGCAACTCGTTCAAAAGTTAAAGCAATTCCAAATAATAAACAGGACTTTATACAATTGATATCTATGCTGCGGCCGATATGAACTCTTCAATGAACCCAAGTCAAGCCGATAACTTATTCAAATATTTTCTTTCACCTTTTTGCCATTTTTCATGTACTACTAGCACACTTCTTCATAGAAAGGGTAAAACATTTAATAGAAGTGTGAAATCAATACAACCTTTTGCCAGCCTTTCAAACTGAATGCCAAACTAGATCTTTCAATTTGCCCCAACATTCAATGGAATCCCTAGGAGACTTATAACATCACAGTCCATGTTGTGTCTCACAAATCCAGACTTTTCGATTCCTCCACCCACCCCAACCCCAAACCCCCAAAAAAAAAAAAAAAAAAAAAAAAAAAAGTCCCAGATTAAAAATGATAATAGTTATATGAGATAGATGAAACATTTGAAACCAAAGAAAGACAAGTAGTAACATGTAGACTTACCTCTAGGGAGAAAAGGAAATTTGTGAAGCCATGAAACGTACTCTCCTGTATGATAAAATGATCAAATATCTTCCTTTCATTCAAAAAATTTTCATAATTGGCAAAGAGCCTGTATGTTAATGACTAAATATCTTCCTTTCATTCAAAAACATTTCATAATTGACAAAGAGCCCTTGGCAAAATAACACAGATACTTTCTTTCCAATGAGGTAAAGCAAACATACAAGTACAGGTTACAGCT